TGAGTGAGAACTACTTTGCGTTGTTAGGACTGTGAGGAAATTTTGTGTTAGACCGTGGATGTTAGCTATGTATTTACTGATCTTACGATCAGAAAATACAAAAACCGAAGATTAATTGACGGATAAGATAATTTCATTTGAATATGTTTGCATTGCGAAATTCTCCAGTTCGCTATTCATTGTACATATCGCGACATTTCATGTACATCTTGCATTCTGACTTTTACATGTTGCTTTCTTACATGCACATTATACTTTCTGCTGTGTGCGTCTTGCTTAATTGTATGTTGATATCATTATTTAACGATCAGTTATTATTCATTTAATGATCTGGTATATAAATGCAATAACTTAACTATTTGGGTCTATTTACTCAGCTTGAATGACGAATGTCATAAGGTAGAATGACGCATAGCCGAAAGCCGAATGCAGCAAGCATAATACGACACAACATCTGTTGTAATAATATGTGACACCCAAATTATGCTAACATGTGACGCTACAGTTATATTGTCGGTAAAGTCCGTATTGCGGTTCGGATTCAGTTTACCAAATTACGTCCCTTCGATTTAAAATTCCATTTCAACTATGGAGGAAATAAGGTAAAAATATATACAAAACGATTTAAACATTTTTTTATTTATTACTGAAACTCTGTGGGTCAAATTATAATTCTAGCTGACAATGACATGTTGGGCTGAAATGCCTTTTCATAAAGAAAACTACTAAAAAGGCATCTTCTACGGTGGCACAAAAGTGACATTTGTGTATTTTTATTTATCTCGTGGCCACGAGATACTATGTCGTTGCCATGAGTTACTAAGTCCTGGCAACGAGATGGCTAAGTCGTGGCCATCAGATACTATGTCGTGGCCACGAATTACTGTGTCTTGGCCACGAGAAACTATATCGTGGCCACGAGTTACTAAGTCGTGGCCACGAGATAGCTTAGTCGTGGCCACGAGTTACTAAGTCGTGGCCACAAGATACTATGTCGTGGCCACGAGATACTAAGTCGTGGCCACGAGATAGCTAAGTCGTGGCCACCAGATACTATGTTGTGGCCACGAGATACTTAGTCGTGGCCACGAGATAACTAAGTCGTGGCCACGAGATACTATATATGTCGTGGCCACGACTTAGTAAGTCATTGGAACGAGATAGCTAAGTCGTTACCAGGAGATAATTAACCAATCAGATTACACTATATATATTATGGATTTTTTAAAATTAACAACTTACTTTTACATGCAACATTAATCTTTGAAAATACTGAAGATATTCGCTTTGAACTTGTCTTTATGATCATATTAGAAAGTCACCTTCCAAGGCCCATCAGACATTATTTTTGACTGAAGCTCTTTGTTTGGACAATTTTTTGATCGAATTGGTCAGTTTGTACGTACCACGGCCTGTTAACCCTGTTTATACGATAACATGAGAAGGAATAAGTCCTTGGAAGGGACATTGCCCATGGACAGTAGAAAGCCTATCAGGTAAAATCCTTGTCTGATGAATAATTTAGTAGGGATAAGCCATGGTTTATATAACCCAGAAAGATCAGTAGATGACATCTACTAATTTCGAGGTCATTGGGTCAAAAATCAGGGTCACCGTGACACTAAATGTAACTTAGTAACTCGACATAGTATCTCGTGACCACGACTTAGCTATCTCATGGCCACGACTTAGTAACTCGTGGCCACGACATAGTATCTCGTGCGCACGAGATAAATAAAAACATACACATGCCACCTTTGTGCCACCGTAATATTCAGCCCAACATGCAATATTCCTTTTATAACCATTTCTTGGGATCATTTTATACTCATCAATTAATATTATGAAATCATTCGTCTAAAAGCTGCAATCTCACAGATTGACAGTTTTGACATTTTTTTCTCAAAATCAGCTGATTTTGGCAGCAGTTCCCTCAATTCACTTTTGAGATGACACTGTGAACAAGAACCTGGGGCCGTATTCATAAAGCATCTTAGTGAATAATTTCAACCTAGTGAAAAATGATATTTTTTTGACAAGTTCAATTTTAAAAAAATCTAACAATGTGTGTACAAATTTAGTTTGAAAATAGGCAAGAAAATGTCCTAATTAATAAAAATACATTAAAATGTTGTGGATGGTCACAGGTATTGGCAATAAGCCATGTCAAAAATTAGGATCTTTTCAAGAAGATGAAATATTTTACTAAGAAGTTTTTATATGGCTCAAGCACTTTGAACAACTGTTCTATTTTATAATTATTTTGTTGATAAAAAATAATTCTAAAACCATTGATTTGGAAATGTGCAACTTGTCATTGTCAGCTGGAAATATAATTTTACCCACAGAGTTTCAGTAATAAATACAAAAATTGGTTAAATCGTTTTGTATATATGTTTACCTTATTTCCTCCATAGTGGAAATGGAAATTTTAAAACGAAGGAACTGAATCCGAACCGCAATACGGACTTTACCGACAATATAACTGTAGCGTCACATGTTAGCATAATTTGGGTGTCACATATTATTACACCAGATGTCGCGTCGTATTATGCTTGCTGCAGTCGGCTTTCGGCTATGCGTCATTCTACCTTATGACATTCGTCATTTAAAATGAGTAAATAGACCCAAAAAGTTGAGTTATTGCATTAATATACCAGATCAACAAATGAATAATGTTTGATCGTTAAATAAAGATATCAACATACAATTAAGCAAGACGCACACAGCAGAAAGCATAATGTGCATGTAAGAAAGCAACATGTAAAAGTCAGAATGCAAGATGTACAAGTCAGAATGCAAGATGTACAAGTCAGAATGCAAGATGTACAAGTCAGAATGCAAGATGTACAAGTTAGAAAGCACGATGTAACGTAAGAAAGCAAGATGTAATTTTGGCGTTAATACCCTTCCATAAGTCTGTTTAAAACATTTCCCAAACGAACACTCTTTTCAAAACTGACTGATATATAGAATAGAAAATCCACTAAGCAGAAAAATGCGCCGTACGTAAGCGCCATACGTTATCATTTCCGGAAAATGCCCCGATATTAATATTTACCGCCGTAAATCTAGCCATAATGGGCATGCATGCTTAGATGACAACATATTACAGCTTTTTAAAGTCAGTGTTTTCAGTTAATATGCATATTTGAATTATTTGTAATAGAAACAGTGAATTTGAGATAATAAGCCGTACGTACGTTATCACGATCAAACCCGTGGAAAATTCTCTCGCTTCGAATCTGGTGACGCACATTTCAGATGAAACACCATGAAATAAAGTCATGTGTGCCCGGAAAATTGTGGAGAAGGTTATTATATGTACCTTTACACCAGAACATCAAGAATTTCGGAGAAAAAGAGGAAAAACTTACTTTTCGGCTGCATCGGCCATCTTGTTTGTTTGGGTAACAAACGGCGAGATTCTTCCCCGTGTCTATAATAGACTTGTTTTGATTTGTTCCTCGACTGTCTGTGAAGAGGGGTCTGGTATCATCTGAGATGGTATTTGTACATGTTGTAATATCGATAGTTAGAAACCCTGCAGATCGAGTTTTACCGAGAAAGACAGATCCGTCTTGTTTAACCAGTGCATACATCTTTCAACATGTTTTATTTGTGTACGTTGCAATGAACATAAAGCTACATTGGCCACGAAAATCAATGTTTCATTTATTTGAGATTTAACAATTAAGTGGACGTTTAGTTAATGCATTATAGATCTTCATCGCCACAACGTATAAACACCATTTCCATGCTTTTATAATGAATTCTGCTTGCTCTGGTGTAGCATTAATTTAATGTTGATCCCGTTGAAAATAGCCCACGAGTCAGTGCGCCCCCTCAAAGTCCGCGACAATTAGCCCTGAGGTGAAGCATCATTAAATATAATTTTCATGACATAATGAAAATGCATGATTTAAGTGCTATAGAATATGAAGATCTTGTACCTGGGGGCGCGGGGCGGGGTAGGGGTCTGACGCGGACCCTTTAGCGCAAAGCCGTGCGTGAGTGGTCAGACTGTACAATTGTGGCATAGGCGCTACGGCACTAAAAGTGTTATGAATTCTGAAGGAGTTTCTGATTCTTCAGATTCTCGACTAATTTATTTTCAGAACATTATAAATGACCCCATTTTGATCAAACTTCAACGACTTACCAGACGTTGAAAAAATTATTATAAACCAAAATTTAATATTACATCGGTTCTAGGGGGGGGGGGGGTGACTGATTATTAGTATTAATAATATTAAACCCAGTATTTCTTAATCATTACTGCCAATTATTACCTTGAACTTTATTTTGATATTTCAGGAACTGTTGGTACGGATCTTGAAATTTCTACAACCTTCTAGAGGAATATGTTTTGACCATACTTTTCTAAAACATCCTTTACATAATGCGTGTATGCAGTACGTAGTATATGTCGAAACTTAAAAATATATACATATTGATAGGGGTTTCATATCTAATCAGTATATTCGATAATTTATGTGTAACAAATTTAGTTGGATCAAATTAACTTTATGGTCTGATTAATTTAGGCGATGAACACAGCTATATATGGCATCATGTAGTATCACAAAAAGCGATTTAAATGCACTTTCCTTTACGAATCTGTGTAAAGTGACCCCCATGGTGGGTCCAATTTATATACATGTATTTATATATGTTTGTATCACAAGGTGATTAGTTATGCTGCATTCCAAAAGATTTTTAACATTTTATTATAAGAATGTTTTAGCTCCATTGACCTGCTTTTCATCAGTATAAAACCATTGGAGGGTCACCTAATGATCAGTTCTCTGAATTTTGGTTATAATCTTCTTATTGGTTAAGGATAACATATTGCTTAATGAAGCTGTAGATAAAGACACACAAACGAACGACGGGCATCTGCGCATATTCTGCTCAGGCGGCAAAAAAATGACACCATAATATCATATTGCATGTTTTGATTAGATTTGACAGCTGTTGAATTTCTCTTCCAATTTCAGGCTCATATATAGAAACATAGAGAGAGAAAACTATTATATTAAAACTTTAGCGGAGACATCTCTCATGACACGTGAGTAATATATTTAACAAATAAAACATGGCCTTGAGGGCAATATGCAAGTTTACGGACTGATTGGTCAGACCTCGGAAGGTTTATGGCCCAAAGCGCAGCTGAGGCACATATACCTTCCGAGGTCTGACCAATCAGACCGTAAACTAGCATTTTGCCCGAAAGGCCATGTTTTATTTGTTATACTATACCGAATCTAAATCCTTTCATACATTTTGTTGTTGTCATTTTTAATTTTTTACTATATAATTTGCTTTCAAATATTAATTTATTTGTTCAGTGTGTGAAATATCTCAAACCCTAGTCGGTTTTTTATTATTATTTTTAAGCGAAACATCAAAAAAATTATGCTCTTCTTTTGTTATTCAATTTTTGTTAATCAAATTAAACAGGCAAAAAAAACCGAACTTTTAGATTTTCACAAACTGTATAAATAAAATATATAATCTATAATTTAAATCATGACTTTTGTTCAACATGTAATAAATTTATGTGAAACAAAACAATAAATTCAGTAAAAAGAATCATTTAACAACAAAATAAAATATTATACCTCATTTGCATACGCCCTTCTATATTTAATATAACGTCATCCAGTCCATGGACCGCCCCCGGTCTGTATGCGGTTTATGGACCGGATGACGTCATATTAAATATAGAAGGGCGTATGCAAATGAGGTATAATATAATCAATATATATATACTATATTTATCTAATAAAAATTGACTCATCGACCACATTAGCTGCAATTTGGTCTGGAAAAAGAAATGAGTAATTGAGAAGTGATACTATATATTAAGTAATAACATCTAAAATCACGCCGTTTTTAAACTTTTACTTTACATGCGCACATGTTACTTTTCAGTTATTATGGGTTTTATCATACACATCAACTTACTTTGAGGATTGATAGAATTTCAGAATTGGATGTGACGTTACGTTTCTATTCAAAACAGAAATATCAACTCTGGTATGTTCTCAAATATCTGTAGTTATTTTTGCTTTCGTGGTTTAACTGAAGTTTGATTAGCATTTCAATCATTCGGAACACATTTACCCATTATCGACTTGGAAACAATAATGTTTGAATGTAAATCTATCACGTACAAGACTATGTAAAATCAAAGGACTGCAAGCTCTGTGGTATTTTCTGATCTTTGCAATCCAAATCGTACTGTATATCTGTATGTATTTTCCTGTTTAAGTTTATTTTTATGTTGCAAGGCACCAGAGTTTGATACATACGGAATTTTGCATAACTTCAGTAGAGTTGCATCAAAAAATCATTTATGTTCATTTTTTATGACAGCCACACTTTATCCTGGCATGTCATGGCTACTTCCTTAACAAAGACACTTAAAATAGAATTTTAAAAAAAGTTGCTTCGACTGGGATTTGAACTCCAGACCTCTCACACTTTAGACGAGCGCGTCAATCCTGCACCACGGAGAAGTTATATAAACGATGCCTGAATAAAATCTAGTCATTCTAAATTTAGAACTTCCATTGCATTCCGGGTTTGTAATCTTTACTAATTTCGAGGTATTTTGTTCAGGATAAAAATGTTGTTTAAAATTGAACTTAATAATTTAGTGAAAATCTTCTCGCCGAAACAGTCCGACATGTAGAATCTATATATTCCACTACTCGGCAGTCAGATTTATTTGTGTAGTATTCGGTAATCGACATCGCTAAAAATAGCATTTTCATTGATTAAATCAAATTCATCCGCGTAATTTGTGATTGTGCATTTATTGACAATTCTATAAGATAACGATACTTTTAAACTTTGAATGCGTTGTAATTTGTTGATACTTGTAACAAAATAAAAATATTTCTTTCTTTTAAATCGCTAGTTTTAAGCTGTTTTGAGAACTACTTGTTGTTAGGTTTGTCGTGAAATTCTGTGTCAGAGATTGAATGTCAGCTTTGTATTTACTGACCTTCGGTCAGAAAATACAAAAATCAGAAAATGTATTTTTGCAAGCTAGGGAGACGGCAATCTCCCACACAGTGATCTTCCCTTTCAGTAGCCTATATAACTGGTGCAGACGGGTTCCCAGATAACATGGAGTTGCATAATTTGAACAGTACAGTGCCCTCCGGCTGTTAGGGTTATTGTATATTGTCAACAACAAGTAGTATCCGGGACAGGAAATCATTTCTATTACAACTTTTCCGCCCCTGTAGTACGAACTAGATTATGGGTTATTTCCGAAGTGTTCCAAGTGAAGATTTGCCAATCATATGTGTATTTTATTTATTGATTATACTATATGCTTTTATTGTATTTATTTATAAATATAGAAGTGCATGTGCGTGCATTAAAAAACTCAACAGTTCATGCATTATTCTACAACAACGCGCTCAATTGTTATCTACATGTATTTCCATAAAATTTGAAAACAAAGATTAACAAAGAAGGGTGGCACTCAAAGAACGCATCCACCAACAAAAACCAGTAACACAGGACCACCGGAAGGAGCTCAGCAGGACACCATAAAAATAATAATAATAAAAACAGGAGAGGGTGCAAGAGCAAAGCATTAGGCGCAATGCCACAGGAATAAGGGTGTAATTAAGGGAGCAGGGGAGGGGACAAGAGGAACATTTGGGGATGGGGCAAAAATGATTATCTAAGAGAAACGTACTACTAAGCATACATATATAATAAAAAAAACAAGAAGGGAATCAATAAGCAATAAATTTTACTTCTTTTTTGTTTATTTACGTCACACCCAACGTCATACATGGCATGTTTTTGGCATGTTTTAAATATTCATTTCCTCTGGTCAGAATAACAAACACTGAACAAAAGTTCTAACCGATCACCCTGAGTTTTCGCTTATATATGAAAAAGAATAATACCAATAGATCCGACTTTTATTTTATTTCGAAGAGAATGAACATACTGAGAATAATAAATTATAACATTTTTCTATTTTAAATAATACTGTATCGATATTTTAAAAAAAATATTTTTATGATTACAGCCACTCACCTGTCTGATAGAGGCCCCAGCATTCAACATTCGAACTGCTACGGCACGATCCTGCATCGACATTTGTGCCATGTTTTATGTTTTTTCACTTATAAAGTTAACAAGGATTTATGCAATGTAACATTTAATACTCACCACGCTCTGCACGAACATTTCGTGCCAAAATGTGTAAACCTCGCCCTGTCTCCCGCGTGACTGCATGGAACCGTATTAAATTATTTTTCATTCCACAAATCGGTAGAAAATGACACAAAAATGACCTCTGTAAAATTTTATAAGGATCTATTGACCCGTTATAAAATAATCAAAATTTAAAAAGTGATCGGTTAGAATTTTTGTTAAGTGTATATTAATTCTATCCCAGATTTCCTGCAGGATTTGAAATTTACTTTGTCTTTTTTGTCTTTATCTATTATGATCAGAAGAGTGTTCATTTTTCTCTGAAAAGGAAATCCCTCCGATCGTTACACATATATAGGCCTAATCTGATTGCCTGCAGGACATATCATCCTAGAGAAGAATGAACTCAAAATATTTCTACAAAAGATATGAGGATTACAGAAAATTAAAGAGTGCTATTGTGTACAGTTGGTCCAACTAATTGAGTTTTACTTACAACATAAAAGCGAGATTCTCACCCAGAACGAAAATATCTCAGACTCTAGTTTTGGAACGTCACTATATATATAATATTATGTGTACAGCTAGTGTGCATATAAAACCGGGAATTATTATAGATATATGTATTTGGTCTATATGATTAGTCTGTATCATTATTATTTGCTGTTTACACATCAAACAAATGGAAAGGTTATTACTTAATGATACACAGGTGCTTGAAACAAACTTTTTAAAGTTTTATATGGGCTATATACTATGATAAGATATCTTAATATATAGACCAATTATGTAAAATATTTGATTATGTGACTATCGCCTGTGAAATATGATATTAATAAAAAATATTGTACTTTGCAACCCTAAAATGACGTGTCAAACAGGTTTTAGCAGGTATAGATGCATTGGATTACCGAAAATAAGCTATTTTCGCGAAAATAAGATCTCGGCTACCATAGACTGACGGAAAGTGCCGAGTAGTTGCGATTGCTCGGCTACGAAAATATAAGATTTATTTTTCATATACATGTAGTGCATTTATCTGTTTAAATAATTATGTTACAATTCTTCTAAGGGAAGTAATCACTGTGAGGAGTTTGCAAATCGCCGTGTAAAGCGAAAACAAGTAAAATGGTTTCCTGCGGGGAACATTTTTAATGATATAAGATATTTCATTTAACTATTTTAAACATTGTTTGGGGGACAACATATAGTCGATCAATATAGAAGAAGGTCTTTGGAAACTGGTGGCCGTTGATGACCGGAGAAGGTCGAACATAAAACAATTATTTCTTTTTAAGAAAATGATTAAATAGGCCTACCATTTTATGAATAATTCCGAGCAAAAAATAAAGTAAACACACAAGTTATCGCAGAAAATATCTCTATTTATTATGCCCAGTTGCCACTACGTACGTACGATCGAATATTTCAATTTTGTAGATTTTCAGTTGTCTGTAAAATTTGAGATACATATTAAAGAAACATTGATAATTTTCAAGCACATCATTCAAGTTTTTCAACCTCAAACGGTACAATATTTATAGAAAATTAGAAATATCACGTAATAGTTTTTTTGTTCTAATTAGATGTAATTCTGCCTAATTCCCTAGAGGTAAATCCGTCACGTACCGGCAAACGGTATTTAGCCAAGTTTTCGAAAGGGTCAATTAACCAATCATGTAAGGTTTACAGATCACGTGCTCCTCCATGTACCGAAAACAGGTCACGTGCTCCTCCATGCCTCAAAAGTTAAACGCGTACCAATACCCTGCGGTCTCCAGACCGCAGGGAATAACACCGGGTCTACGAAAATAAGATTTATTCTTTATATAGTTGGATCTAATGAATTAACTTAAAACACAGATATTTAGCTCCATGCTTAAAAGTATTAAATTTGGAGGTCCATGTGAATAAGATATGTATGCAAATAATGTCTGTTTTCGACTAAGATTTTTGCAAATCTAATTATATATATAACATCTGTGAAAATGGAAGCTGCATGAAAATAATATCCTTACGAAAATCAGATACATACAAAATAAGATATATGTTGAAAAATTAACAAAGGGCCATAATTCTGTTAAATTTTAGATACACTACTGTAACTGGTGTAATTGTATACATATATCTGGCAGCTGAACTTTGAACTTGTTCTACTTTGTAAATGCCAAGGATGCCAAACCGTGGAACAGTATTCTAATTGGGGCCTTAGGTTTTGCAGGCAGTTTCTTTAAACTTTTTGTTTGAAGTTTTGACATTTCTTTTTATAAATCTGAGTGAATTATTTGCTTTTGCTGTTATGTTGTTTATATGATTGTTCCAAGATAGGTCTTTACTAATTGTTACACCTAAATATTTTGCAGCCTCAGTGGATTTTAGTTGTTGACCACGTAAATTATAAGGGAATATGTTATTTGGTGTTTCTTGCGGCTGATACTAAGGACTTCACATTTATCTGGATTAAATTCCATGGACCAATCAGATTCCTAGTTTTCAAGACTGTTGAGATCTTTTTGAAGGGTGAATACATCTGCGGATGTTTCAAATTTCAAAGTTGTACCAGTTCATAGTAAATGTTGAATCCTGCTTAAGCCGGTGCTAGGGGCCTGGACGGTAGTTTGCACTAAACAGTACCGTCCATGAACAGGCTCAATCAAACCGAGCCTGCAACATTAATGTGCCGTGTTGGGCTTTCTTTAGGGATTCGTATTTTCTCTATTTTGTGCATCTTGGTTTGATTTGATTGTTAGGTATACTATTGCATCGTCTGCAAATAGTCTCACCTTGCCCTTAACACTATCAGGGAGGTCATTTATGTAAGATCAGGAAAGGCAAGGTCCCGGGACAGA